GGTGGGGGGGGTACGGGTGCGGGGAGGGGGTGGAAGTGGGAACCACACATGCTGTCCCTCTGGGAATTGGTTTGTCAGTTTCTTAAAGCTACAAGCTCACTCACCACACGGCCCAGACCCCCTAGGCCTCCATCCAAGGGGATTGAAAACACATGTCCACACGGATCTGGTCCGGGAGTGCTCACAGCAGCTTCATTCATTACAGGCCCGAGTGGAAGCTACCCAGTGTGGGGCCGCGGGTCCATGGGTCCGTGAGGTTTGGAACAGCCGCGGAGGGACGGCGGGCGGCGCAGCAGCCACAGGAGATTGCGGTGAAACGGCGCCTGGACACGTCTCCGAGGGCCGTGCTCAGGGGGAGCGGCCGGCACAAGGCATTCCACACTGTCTGCTCCCATTTCTATTTAAAAACGACACATTTCATTAAAGTCAGAGAGGAAGGGAGAGGGAGAGAGAAACATCAATGATGAGAGAGAATCATGGACCGGCTGCCTCCTGCACACCCCCCGCCCCACACTGGGAATCGAGCCCACAACCTGGGCCTGTGCCCTGACCAGGGATCGAACTGTGACCTCCTGGTTCCTAGGTCGACGCTCAACCACTGAGCCACACCGGCCGGGCACGTGGACTCCTTTTTATTTCCATGCCCTGGCGGAGGTGTGGCAGGGAGTCCCCAGCCCGCAGGGACCAGGACAGGAAGCCCGGACCCCCCAGTCCTTCGGGACCTTCTATGGAGAAAGGGTGATTACTGACGTGATTAAGGATCCGGAGAGATCACCCTGGATTTGCTGGGTGAGTCCTGAGTCCCGTGACCAGTGTCCTGACAGGACGGAGGGGACGGACAGGGAGCAGGGCTCCCGCGGGATTGTGGGGCGTGTGTGCGTATGTGGCCTGCCGGGGAGTGGTGTGCACAGCGTGGGGTGGGTGCGGTGTGCGCAACGTGTGGTGTGCGAGGCGCGCGTTATGCGAGTGCATGTGTTTTGTGTGTAGGTGGTGTGTGTGGGGTGGTATGTCAGCGTGTGCCCCGCGGGGTTCCGTGTCCCTCCCTCCCGAGCCCCCAGCTCAGGGCTCAGGGGACCGCGGGACCCTCACTCAACCCGCGCGAGCTGAGCGGCGGGTAACCATGGCAACGGATGCTCCTGCAGCCGGAGAGGCCGGGTGGCTGGGTGGGAGCGTGCGCTGTTCACCCCGGACCGCGGGCGGGGAAGGGGAGGCGCACGAGGAGCTGCAGGTCCCAGGCGCCCCTCCACTTCAGCGGCTGCTTGGGGAAGGGGGCGCCGCCTCCCGGTGACGCTGCGGGGCTGCTCTAGGGGTACGGGCCTCCGACAGGGGCTTTCACGGCCGCCGGTCGGTCGGACCGCCTCGCCTCGCCTCGCGGGAAGGCCCAGGAAGGCCCGGCGGGAGGCGGTGTGTCAGCCACGGTCCCAGCACCGGGACTGGCCGCTGCGAGGCGTGGCCGCGCCAGGACTCTCTCCAGACCCCGCTCGAGTCGGTGGAGCGACATGAACTTTGGACGGTGAATCGCAGCGTCGGTTTTCAGGCTGCTCCTCCCGAGCGCCTCTGCCCAGCGGCCGGGAAGGTGCAGGGCGCCCGGGGACCACAGGGCCAGGCCGCAGAGGGAGTCCCCGAACGCCGGCCACAGGAGGCCGAGGGCTGCCTTCCAGAAGCTTCCCGGGTGACCACACCCGGGCAGGGAGAGGAGGCGGCCAGGAGCGTGGGCAGCCTCCACAGGTTCGCGGCCCAGCCTCCTCGATCCACTGGGTCAGGCCCTCTGACGCCCGCGCTGTTTGTTATTCACTCACTGTTTTTAATGCAACTTGGTCTTTTTTTTTTAATATGTCTTTATTGATTTCAGAGAGGAAAGGAGAGGGAGAGAGAGAGAGAAACATCAATGATGAGAGAGGAACATCACTGATTGGCTGCCTCCTGCATGCCCCGCACTGGGGATTGAACCCTCAACCCAGGCATGTGCCCTGACCAGGAATCAAACCGTGACCTCCTGGTCAGCACTCAACCACTGAGCCACACTGGCCAGGCTTTGACTTCAGTTAATTTTAAAATAAAGTAAGTGGACAATCAGTAGCACTTGCCCAAACCTAAAGGTGATCATGGAAACAGGTACCACGCACATGACACGTGCAATGCTGCATCCTGGCAGCTGCCCCCAGGGCTCTGGGCCTGGGGCCTGTGGCTGCACCAGGGAGGTGCCCAAGGCCTAGGCCAGTGATGGCGAACCTATGACACCCGTGTCAGAGGTGACACGCGAACTCATTTTTTTGGTTGATTTTTCTTTGTTAAATGGCATTTAAAGATATAAAATAAATATCCAAAAATATAAGTCTTTGTTTTACCTTATGGTTGCAAATATCAAAAAATTTCTATAGGTGACACGGCACCCAGAGCTAAGTTAGGGGTTTTTCAAAAATGCTGACACGCCGAAGCTCAAAAAGGTTCGCCATCCCTGGCCTAGGATCTCGGGACCAGAGACTCTGCTGGAGAAACAGGGCTGGGGGGGTGAAGGGGTGTAGCTCCTTTAACGGAAGCACGTGGAACACGTGGAGCACACGGGGCCTCCCCCGCCCTGAGCTGAGGGGCTGAGCTGTTAACTGCTCTGCTCACTGGCCCAGGTGGTGAAGGCAGGGTGCCGCCGGCCTCGATGCACAGGTGAGGGCCGGAGCGGTCAGCCGCCTGCCCGCGGGCCGCAGAGCCCGGAGCTGCGGAGTGTTGCAGTGGGGCTCAGGTGGCGCCCGCATACTCGCTGCCCTCACAGCCATGCAGCCCGAAGCCGGCTCAGGCTCCTCATTCCTGCCCGAGACTTTTAGGGGTCAGCCAACCCCTGGGACTTTGAGGGGTCACCTGTGACGCCAGATGCCTGGGCTGGCAGTTCTTCATGTGGGACGGACCAGGTTCTTTCTCTTTTCTGTTTGAAAAAGCCAATCAAGAGGCTAGGCCAAGCAGGCCTGGCCCTTGTGGGCTCTTGGCGGCGTCAGGCCGGGCACCTTTTGGGGACCTGGGGGCCGGTTTGGCCGCTCCGGCACCGGCACCAGCACCGGCGAGCGCTCATGGCACCTGGGAGGTGGATGCACTTAGAGACATCGCCTGGCCCCGCGACCAGGTAAGGACAGGAGGCCGGTCCTCAGTGCGCGCGGGCTGGCCTGGGCGTCGGTTGGGGTTGGGCTGCAGGCAGCGGGCTTGGGGAGCGCTCCCAGGAACCCTTGGGTGAGGGCCACGGCGCTGCGGGCCTTCAGGCAGAGCTGCCAGTTAGGCCGCTGTGGGGGGAGGCTGGGATGGATCCTGAGACCGGATGGCGCTCCAGCTGCAGGGAGAAGCCAGAGGCCCAGGCGGGGAGGAGGGAGTCACAGGTGAGGAGCAGGCAGGTCCTGGGGGGCCCATTGTGGGGGGACAGGCTGGGGCAGGAGCTGGTCCGACTCGGAGCCCACGCTCTTAACCAGTGGGTTTGAGCACAGCCCTCGAAGTGGCTCAGTGTCCGTGCGTCTGGGTGACGAGGGGCTGGACAGTGTCCCTTCGGGTCCTGGCCTGGCCACCCGCCCCCTCTGGAGACAGGCGATGCCCGCTCTCTCTTGAGAGCTCCTGGGGTGTGTTTATTCCTGGCCCCCTCCCCCCCACAGGCTCACACATGTGCTCACGCCCTTCTCCCCTTCCCCCCAGCAGGGCGCTGCTATTTGCCGCGTTTTAACGTGTTTTTTGCTGAACAGTGTGGCTTGGAGGTTCTCATTCCCCATCTTGTCACAGGAGCCCTCTTGTCCCCCAACCCTTTTTCTTCTCATGTGGCGGCCCACACCGCCACCGCCTGTGCCTGGCGTCCACCCGGAATGAATGGTGCCGCGTGGTTATCGTCCTGAGGATCAGGAGTTTATTCCCCGTCGGGCAGCGGCAGGACTGGAGCGGCAGGCTTTGGGGAGAAGTCGCACCCACGTCGGCCCGGTGCCTTCTAAGGCCCAGGGGTGTCCTTAGCCCACGGGCGCTTTCTGGGGTGCAGCGTCCTCCCGTGACCGCGCCCGGGAGCAGCAGCTGGCCAGCCCCGATGGGGACGGGCCCGAGGCCGGGAGTTCGAGGGGCAAAGCCTCCGGCTGCCTGCCTGGCCCCCTCTGGGGCTGGACACCAAGGTCCGTGGTCCAGGACAGGGTGATACCTTCTCGAGCGGGGCTCTCGCGCGCCCCCGTGTGGCCACTGACAGAGGCGCCGCTTCGGGGACAGGTCAGGAGGAGGGAGGAGGGAGGAGGGAGGAGGGAAGTGTCAGGTGCCGGTCTGGGCCTTGGACCTAGCGGGCCTGGGCCTGTGCGTTTGCAGAACCTCAGCCTGGGCAGGGGCCGGACTGCCAGCGCCGTAACGACAGAGCACGGGCCGGGGCTGAGGGGACACTGAGGCCCGCGGTGCGCCATCTGGTCAGCTGGGCAGACAGTCCATGGTGTCCGGCATCACCGCGAGGGCAGCTGCGGAGGCTTCCTGGCAGAGAGGGTGGGGGGGTGAGGACGGGTCGCTGAGGAGAGGAGGTGTGGGGAGCGCGGGTGGGGATCAGCCATGTGGGCCCAGCCCTCTCAGCCTCGCTGCCCGACCTCCTCTCAGCTCAGATCCTCCGTCCTTCACGGGCTCAGGCACCCCCAGGGCCTCAGGCACCCACCCAGCCTCAGGCCCGTTTCCTTTGTCCCCCACTCCGCCCACCTCCACCTCGAAGGCCCGCCCTTAACGCATCGGAATCGGAATCGGTTCATTGCCCCCTCTTCACCCTGCCACCAAGATGTGCTGCCCTGACCTCGGGTGACCTCCGACCTCGGGTGACCTCCGAACTGGCAGTACCTGTCCCTACTTGTGCTGCTGCCCCGTGTCTGTGCCCATTTAGTCACCACATCAGACCCTGGCTCGGCCCTGCGCCCCCCCTCTGCGCCCCGTCCTCTCGGCCATGGTTCCCTTTGTCCTATCGCCTCCTGGCTCCCAACGGGGTCCCAGGGGTCCCACCCTCCCTCCACCTCCTGGGCCCTGACCTTGAGCGATGGGCATTATGCGACCTTGGCCAGGAGAACTGCAGCCACCAGCAGGCCTGTCATCAGGACGGGGCAGCCGCCAGCCAGGGGGACAGACCCTATGGAGAGTCGGAGGGCCCATGGGTGAGGGACGGGGGAGCATGTCACCACCCCAACTCCTCCCAGAGCCGCCCCACGAGCCCCCTGAAGTCACCTCTCAGCACCCCTCTTGTTCCCCTCCCCAGCGCACCGCCCCCCACCCCTGTGGTCCAGCTCCCAGGTGACCTTTGCCACTGAGACGGGTCAGGGGGTTGGGGGTGGGGAGCTGGCAGAGGGTGACTCCAGGAAGGAATCCCTCTGTGGAGCCTGGGCCCCCCGGGACCAGGAGCCTGGAGGGGCTTCACCCCAAAGGCCTGCCCCTGGGCCGACACCCCTGGTCCTCAGCCTGGCGCCTTGAACACGCTCCTGTCCCTGTTCTCCGCCCACACTGCTGAGGACAGGGAAGGAGAAGGCGCCCCACGTGCTGGGGGGCACCTGTTCCAGGGCAGGCACCCCGTCTGCAGCCACGGGGGACCATGCAGGGGAGGGCGGGGCCTCACCTGAGTGGGTTGTGGTGGACGGGGTGCTGGGGCCCCCTTCACCCTCGGGCATGAGCATGGGCAGCAGGGCGCGGGGGTCCCCGTCATTGGCCTCGGGCACGATGCGCAGCAGCTTGCACAGCAGCTCGTACACGTGGACGCTCTCGAAGGGCTCCACCTTCCAGGCCCCGCCGGAAGCTGGGGCCCACCGCCCGGAAGATGTCTTCATGTCCAGGACCCCATTGTCGAGCCGTG